TGCCTCCAGGAGTGCTTAGGATAATCCAGTCCTAATGAACCCTAGGTGGGCATCACAACCACCTAGGTGACCTGCCGAAGGCACACACTCCTGGCCACCCTCCTTCTTATCTTGTGGGTCTTCTAAATAAATCTTAAGTGAGCTCAGTAGCTTTGACAAGTACCTCTGGTGACTGTCTTCAGCGTGCAGTTCTGAGAACTAACACAGCAGTGTTAACCATTATTTAACTTAATGATAGTAATTTGGTTTAGTAATAATAATCACAATTATAATAGTAATGGGCAAAGGAGAGAAAGAGGAAGAAGAAAAGAAAGAGCAAACACCTGAACAATGCATACTTTTCTACACGTTCTCTACTTGTATGAGTCTCTCTCTTTAGATTTTTAAATGTTTAATTAAATTTATTTTTAGATTTACATGTATCAGTTTCTATAACCCTCATAACAATCTTTGTGATATAAAAACTCCTGGCCCAGCTATTATCCCCCCACTCCCAGAAAAACTATTAGTACTGTACCTGTAATTCACAGGGGAAGACAGACGTGAAAAGATTTTACTTTCCTGAGGTTACAAGTCAGCAGTGGAACCCAGGCTCAGTAGTCCGTGACCTTGGGCACTGTGCTGCCTTGGCATTCGGCACATAAATGGAAGGATTCAGGGCTCCTAACACCCCACGCCCCCAGTCAGGCTGCCTCCTGTCTGAAAGGCTATTCTCAAAGTGGTGGCCTAGAAGAGACAGCCCTCCTTAACTTAACCTCACTATGATCTTTTCCAGGTGGTGTCAGCCTGACCCCGAAAGACCCCCGATGGGTGGGTGCCTGGTGGCTGGGCTTCCTCATCTCAGCTGGCATGGTGGCACTGGCTGCCAGCCCCTACTTCTTCTTCCCCAGGGAGATGCCCAAGGAGAAGCATGAGCTTCACTTCTGGCGAAAGGCAGTGGCAGGTGCCACCTCATCTGTCAGCAAGGTAAACCCCTTCATGTCCCGCCTCAGCCCCAGCTCCAGCCCTCACCAGTGTGTCTTTCTTTGTCACAACAAACTGCATCCCTCTCAAGCCCTGCATGCCACAGCTCACCAGGCCCTTTCCTGCGGGGCTCCACTGCATGCACCCAGCAGCTCCGCAGAGCAAATATCTCTGGCCTCTTCCACAGAGAGATCCAGGGCTGTACAAGTTAGGTTTAAGGAACTTGTGCAAACACACAGCCAGCAGAAGAGAGTGGGGAAGGGAACACAGGTTGGCCTGGGTCTGTGCCCCTTTATGCTGATCCTTTGTGAATTCTGAGTGTGCAATAGAAACTCGGAGTGGTAGCTGTGGAGGGCTCCAGGAAGAGCAGGAATTTGAGCTGGAGGTGGAAGGATTGCAGGAGGTATAGAAACAGCGGTGGGATCTCTAGGTGCAAAACAGGCCTGGGGAAGGGGCTTGGTTGTAGGAGAGAACCTTACACACTAAGGGCCAGTGAAGGGAACAAACATGCACTAAGCAGCTCCTCTTGGCCTGGCTCAGGGCTGGACACCACAGCGGTCTTTACTCTTAAAGTGGCACAGGCTTGTGGGGACAGATACCTGGCCAAGAACCAACAATGAAGGGTGTCTCAGGGCCCACCTGATGCCAGCTCAGCTCCCAGGACAGGTGGCCTTCCAGGCAGAGGGATTGCCTGAGGTCACAGAGCTGGTGGAGGGGCAAGAGCCTGTGACCCTTGGGCAGGACAGATGATTCCAAGTTGTCCAGAAACCCACAAAAACAGGAGGCCCAAAAAGCACTACATGGACTCCAGAACAGAAAAAAAACTCCAAAAATGGTTTTATAATTTTAGTTTTCCATCACTGAGTTAACTTCATTAATTTTTTCTTTAATACTCACACACATTTCATTATATTCTGAAAATTTATGTATTAGATTCTTTCCTTTCCTAAGAATGGGAGGTGGCTGATAGAAAATCACAGTCATAAATTACACATAATTCTAATTTCAAAAGGACAATTTATAAAACTCTTGTCAAATATATTGCAGCAAGAAGAATTCTATTTAATGCGGTAGGCTGGTGCATTTGAATGTTAGAGCAAGAAAGTTTGGGTCTGGGAAAAAGGGCAGAAGCATTCTCAGCCTGGAAAAGCTGGAGTTGGAGCCCACATCTGTCTGACTCCCTGCCCCAGCCACCCTTCAGAACTTCCCCACTTCACCCCACCCACACCATGCAGGCTGGAGAGAGGGTGGACATGAACCAAAGAAAACCAGCCAGGGGAAAGGCCTGTACCGCTGGTGTCAGAGCTGCTGCGTAGCCAGGAAGGAGGGTCTGCTGCCTGGTGATTTAGACAAAGGATTGTGAAGGACAGAGACTACAGAGAGGGGTGACAGGGCAGCTCCACAGTGCATTGGCTGGAGGGCTGGGGACAGGCCGTGCACTGCTGGGAGCCAGACTGCTGGGATTGCTTGGACTGATGCCTGCTCAGAGGCAGGAAGCAGTGGGGGAAGGGACCAGTCTCAAAGGCAGAAGACAGCCTGGAACCTCAGATTATGTCTTCCAGTTTTACCTAGCTGAGGCCAAAATCTGAAGGACAAGAAATTCCTGGAACTTGAGGAAGAGTTCTTGAAGTGGGAGTGGCAGTTACAGAGATGCACTCCGAGTTGGGCCCCACCTTGAACACAGAAGGCCCAAGCTTTGAACAGTGGGCTGTGGAGTAGATAGGATGGAAGGACCAAGGCTGGGATGGGTGACCGTCTGTCACATTTCTGCTACGTACCTAAGCAGAAGTCACTTCTCCCCCTGCTGCACGCCCTGCATTGTCGTGTAAGGTGCAGAGCATGGGTTCCTGGAGCAACGCTCTGTTCACCTCAGCATCTGAGGACGTGAAATTCCCAACTCAGAGCTGCTGTGATTCGGAGTCAGAGTTTGAGAGCTAAGTGCTGTGATGTCTTGAAATGCAGCTCCCCGGCTGTGAACCTGTCTGGCTGTCTGCATTTATTCTGCAGGCATGATGGGGATGGGGAGTGGGGAAGGCAGGGGGTGAGAGGTTCTTTAAAAAGAACTGGAGTCTGAGAACAAGATGATCTGCCTCCAGCCACTCTCTGGCAATAAATACTGATGTACGAGGAATCATTCCCCACCTCCTTGAGGCTGCATGGCAGGGCTGCTTGCAGCCATGCTGGGTGGCCTGGCCCACTAGGGCCACTGATAGGGACCAACATGAGGCAGGGGGAAAGTCCTAAAGAGACAGAAGTGGCTGCCAGGAATTGCAAGTCCCCATACAAGGGATGTGCATTTTCTACAAAGAAAAGGAACGGGCAAAGGGGAGAAAGTGAAAGAGAACTGTTTTAGAAATCCCTTCCAGCACTCCTCCCAGGCCTCGGGCTCAAAGCCCTCCTGGAAGTATGAAGTTTCTACAGATATTCAAGTAAATGATATAAGGACTACTGTATGCGACCTGGGGAGGGTCCTGGGCCTCCATCTTCTAGTCTGTACAATGGGTAATAGATTGGACAGAGTCTGCCCACTCTGGCACCTTGGACCCTGCCTCCCATAAATGGCTTTGTGTCTCTGGGCTGGCACCTGAATGCTTTCACAGGAGAGATGAGTAGTGCATACCACACTGCCCACCCTGAGGAGTTCTGAGGTAGTAAAGAAAGGCACTCGTGTGTTTCCGCTGCAGAGATACAGGGGATACCTGAGACAGTTCAGGGTGTTCCTGAGACAAGGACCATGGGATTCTGTGCCGGGGGGGGGGGGGTGCTCTGCAGGATCCTTGGGGAAAACATGGCTTCTTAGGGGCTCCCTGACAGAGCCCTGGCCCTATTCAGCCAGCAGCTCCTGTGCTTTCTGGTCTTTCTGAGAGCCTGCAGTCCTGGCAGCTGCTTGCCGGCAGTCAGGCCTCTTGCATCGGGGACACAGGTCCAGCCCAGCCTCTGAGCATCACTAGACTCTGTGACTTCCTTTAGGTCACATTTTCCAGGAGGCCACTTATCTGTTATTTCTCTGATAATCTGAGATTCTAATATAACAGTTTTACAGTTCTGTGTTCCTTGTAGTTAGAGATTCTAAAGTACTTGTGTTCTATTATTCTGAGGTTGTATAACTAAAATAGTCTGTGACTCTGGTGAAGAGTCTATAAGCCCATAGTAAGGCCCATTGTATACCAATTATGAGCCTCAGTGTACTTTGGGAGAATTGGGAGGTGGTAAGAATCCTTAAAATGGAAAACTCAAGGGTGGTCTGTTGGAATCTACCCACATGCTCCTGGGACTCGTGTGTTTCCACTGCAGCCTGGCACCTACATTCCGAGGTGACACAAGCCCTCCTCGTCCTCTGCACCTCCTGCTTGCAGCCCCTGCCTCCAGAACCCTCCAGCCAGTCTTGGAGCCCTTTGTATCTTGCCCCATGCCCTGTAGCCCAGGGCTATACCTCTACCCTCTCTAAGGTTGTACCCCTACTCTAGCTCACAGATGGAGAGATTGAGGTCCAGAGATCCAGTGATGTCCCCAGAGGTTAGTGGCCCTTGAATTTGTCTGTACAAGGCTAGGCCATAACCCTACAGGGCTGCTAAGAGCCTTCCCCCTGACCTGGTCATGTGGAGCTTCAAGACACATCAGGGCCCTTTGTGAGCTGCTTTAGGGTTTTCAAACTGCACCCTACAGAGCTCCAAGGCACCATCATAGAGAGAATGAGGGACATCTCTGAGCAGAACTGAAGACTTTCTCCCTCTTACACACACACACACACACACACACACACACACACACACTTCAGTCAGAGTAGCTCTACTTTTATGTGTTCTTATGTGCCACTCTTTCAGTCTTTTTTTCCCCCTGTGCTAGTTTCAGGCCTTGCACATGCTAGGCAAATATTTTACCACGGAGCTACAACCCCAGTCCCATCTTTAGAATAGCATCGCAATTGGGGAAAAGTTTCTTTACTTAAAACCAAGGAATCTAGTCCAATACCTCCATGTAACAGAGGAAAATACTGACACTAAAGAAGGCACATGAGAAGCAGCTGATCTGGCCTAAGAGGCACTGTGTAAGTGCTTGAGTCATGCTGCGGTGACAGGTGGGGAGGGAGTAGGTACAAGGTGACTGCACCAGACTGGCCCAGCGCTCACTTAAGAGCTGAAATCTGTAAAATTGGTCTAACCATGACACTTACATCTTGGAGTTTGTGCAATAGCACAGTAAGGCAAAATGTGGGGGGACTTGGCTCAGTGCCCACGCAGAGCCCAGGAACCAGAAATGCTTGTTCGCAGCCCCTTTCTTTGATCAGGCCAACTCTGTAGAGGAGAAAAAAGAAAAAAAAATTTCCACTACTAGTCTTCTTCCCCACCCCCCATCCTGGTACTGGGGATTGAACTCAGGACCTTGCACTTGCCAAGCAAGTGCTTATTCTACTGAGCTATCTCCCCAGCCCTACTAGTCTTAAAAGCTTATCTTTTAAAAATTATTTTAATGAGGCTGGGGAGATGGCTCAGTGGAATAAGTGCTTCCCTGGCAAGCACAAGGGCCTGAGTTCAATCCCCAGTTCTGAAAAAAAAATTATTTTTAATGTTTTTCAAATTTATTTTTAATTGGCAAGTAAAAATTGAACATGTTTATGGAGTAACAAATATGGTTTTGGTATATTCCAAAACCATGATTTGTAATTGTCTCAGTTACTCTGCTGTCATTGCTGTGACAAATACCTGACACCCAAAACAAAGGAAGGAAAGGCTTATTTAGCTCACAGTTACTGGAGATTTCATCCGTACTTAATTTGCTCCAAGGCAGAGTGGCCCAGGGCAGAGAGCAGAGAGCAAAGGGGAGGAGCAGCAGCAGCGGCTACGGAGAGCAAGTCTCTCTTCCTTAGGTTGCATTCAGGCTATCTGCCTCAGGCTGGGGGTAGCACTCACACCATAATCCCAGCAGCACTTAAACCCATAATCTGGGCAGCACTCATACACATAATCCCAGTGGATCATGAGTTAATCACAAACTCTAGAAGT